CCGTATCTCAAGCACTTAAGATGTTCATCGGCACCGGTGGTGGCATCGTGGACAAAGGATTATTCCGATACTAACTTTACTCTCGTCAGTTCCCTTCAAGATCTTCACAAGAACCATACTAATAATAATTCGAGAGTAACATTACCCCAGATTTAAAGGACGTTCTTCAGTAGTGAAATCACAATGCCTGAAACCTCCTCTCAATTAATTCAAAGCACCATTCAGTTGAATGAATCAAGCACCTTCGTCTCAACACCGTAAATACATGTATGGTAGACATACCTTTCTCATGCACTCACAATCCATTCAAAAAATCTTGGGATCAATTCAACGACCAGCGAATAAATAACCGGCCTCAAGTCACTTGACTCCGCGTCGCGTATGATCAAAAAAATATCATTTAGGACATTATTTAATCAGTTTTATGAGATCAGTATCGTAATGCTCATCCCTGGTTTATGACTTTTCCCAGATGATTTCGAAGGCTACTTCTGCCAGGGGGAGGAGGACGAGGATGTATGAAGCCTACTGGTCCACGCGGTACCACTAATCACATCGGCAATTACACCGATATGCGAGTGAAAGACAGACCAGGTGGTACCATCCCGCGTCAATGAGGTCTACTCTCGGATTCTTCGTGCCCGGCCGCGCGCGGGAGGACGTCGTGGTCGGAAATGCTGGACAATGGAGTGTATGGAGTCTGGAGTCTGGACTTGAAGGGCTCTTAGCTCCAGAAGAGAAAAATAGACTTGTATTTGATGGGCTCGAAATCATTAGTTAAACGAATGGGCAGTCATGCTAGTAGGCGGAAATTACGGACTGGCGTCGGAGAAAGCAGTGCACTCGTCACGACGGTCACAGGCGTATTGATACGTCGATATCAAGGGGCGCGTCATTAATCATTGGTCGCGACCTCTTACAGACTCTCGCTGGGGTTCTGATTTTCGTATAAATGCACGTATCTTGTCTAGTACTTTCCTTCAGCAGTCCTTGCATCTTCTGTCATACTACACCACACCACACCACTCAACAGTGACTCTTTCAACATCATGAGTTAGACCCCGGTAACATGATGGCCAACGCTAGTGCATAGGCTCGTTGCTGGTTCCCCTGCTCCACATCCAATGTCAACAATTTTGGAATTTTGGGGCAACGTCTTTATTATCCTATTGAAAGCTTCTTTGAAGTAGTCTCCTTTGTCAAGAGCGGAGGTCTCTAAGGTAGCCCCTATTGCGTCGTACGCTTATTCGATCGATCCTGACATCGTTTGGCGTTAGATAAGTACCACAAAGCCAGACGATGAGGGGATGGACTAAGCTATTAAATTCCTATCTGGTTCAAGGCAATGCATTTCCAAATGTGAATCGGATGTGATCTTACATAACAGAGAAGAGTGTCATGAACTTCTAATAATGTTAGTCGTTTCTATTGAAACCCGATTGATTTCGGATTCAACTCCATGCACATGACCATGCATACTCATTTACTAGGAAAGCTTGGAAAGAGAATTCATGAAAAACACTAATTCCATCTAAGATGTACTCGAATCGAGATATGAGGCTTTACTAATTTCTAGGAAGATAGGGTCCTCAGTTGCCAGCAAAGAGAGGAGGGTCATCGAGGGATTCAAGCTTGACAATATAGGTACTACATAATCAATCAATTAACTCAGTGCATTGAAACTAAATGAATCTACCATCCACTAGT